CCACCGAATTTTCAAGGGCCGTCTAGAGCGCACGCGGACGGGGCAAAAGGTGCCCCGCTTTCCCGCCCAGTCCACCCTATCGCCGGACAAGCCGATTCCAGGGTCGACCAAAGGCGTTAACGAGAAAAGACAACTCTCGCCGGGACTCTAGCCGACGTCTTCGGTTGCGCTTGTGTCGCCACTCAGTATCCACGTCCCGGTGCGGGAATCTTAACCCGCTTCCCTTTCGATAGCGGCGACCCGAGGGTCGCCTTTCCGAACGGACTTCTCCTATCTCTTAGGATCGACTAACCCATGTCCAATTGCTGTTCACATGGAACCTTTCTCCACTTCAGTCTTCAAAGTTCTCATTTGAATATTTGCTACTACCACCAAGATCTGCACCGGGGCACGTTTCACTCCGCCTCACGGCCGAAGATGCGCTACGAGCCCCGCGCCCTCCTACTCATTGGGGAAACGCACTCTCCCCAATGGACTAGTATAAGCCGCTCGCTTCAGCGCCATCCATTTTCAGGGCTAGTTCATTCGGCAGGTGAGTTGTTACACACTCCTTAGCGGATTCCGACTTCCATGGCCACCGTCCTGCTGTCTAAATGAACCAACACCTTTTGTGGGATCTAGGTGAGCGGGCAGTTTGGCGCTTTAACTAGTCGTTCGGTTCATCCCGCATCGCCAGTCCAGCTTACCCGGACGTGCACAACGGCGACAGCGACAACTGCCCAGTGGTGTAAGACATCAACCAGGTAGCGATGTGCGAGCATCAGGATGAAGACTTGTTGAGCGACTAGACGTTTGTTGTGTTTCAGGGTTGTGATGTTATGAGTGTTTCCCACCGTTCACCTGGGATTAGGCTTGGTGTATGCATTCCCCCACGCTTAAGGGTATGTGTGGATGTGCGTAGCGACGTGTTGCCCTTTGCTTGTATTATCCCAAACGGTTTGTGACGGGACACCATCAATAGATTCCAGCTGTGAGGTGCCGCATGCGCATGTCTTCCCACCACTTCACAAGGCATGACCCAGTGGCGCGATTCCTTGCACAAGCCAGCTAGTCTGGAGTGGGTGAGGTCTGACCATCCTCGGCGGAAGAAACGAGAAGAAAAGAGTGGTATTTCCTGCATTATTCTATGGACGACGCACATGCGGAGTAGCCGAAATGTTCTTGTCGTCGCCGTTGATGTCGTTGTTACTGAGAGGAACGTACTGTAGTAACGTGCGCCAGACGCCAATATCCGAAGTTCGCAGCACGAAAGGCTGGAGACGTCACTCGTTAAGATATCACGCGGTGATTACAAAGTTAGAGACAGGACTATATTTGGACCAGCGTATTTGCTCAGCAGAAGCAGTCGCAAACTACTTCATCAAGTTGATTCTGCACGTTGTTCATGTAGATGTACATCTATGCAAGTGATCACGTACGCTTGACAGCGTACTTTAAATACGTGGTCAGCTGTCGTGTTGCAGCACTTCTTGCCAGCAATAACGTCGTCTCTCAGCATGCCAGCCCCGTGTTCTGAACATGTGCGATTGGTCGACGTTGATGGATTTGTGTGGTTCCATGGTTTCGCGCCTGAAGTAAGTGCCGAGCGCGCACACCGGCCCCGTCCCGAACTATGACACACACTCTGCATGCTCGGTGAAATGCCCCGTATACACTCTGCACTCTCCGGCTGCTGTTCTCCACAAACCTTTGTTGACCGCAACGATCCAACATCATCAAGTTGCGTCTACTCCGAAGCTGCGCATGCGCGCTTACTCTGACATACCGACACCTGCTAGCGACTACGTAATACACGGTAGTCGTGACGCGCGCAGCCACGACGAGGGATGGGTCATGCATCGCACACGGTGCTTTAACCACCCGTCGATTGGAACGGCGTGCTAAAAGGAGTCCATAGCAGGCGTTGACAGAAAGTTTGCCCCGGAAGGGAGAAACAAAACAAAGTACCGCAGTACCTAGCTCCTGGGCAAGGTTTGCTTAGATGGTGTGACGGGCTCTACGTGACCGCCCGATCTCCGTCCTAGCCGAAGTTTTGAGGTCATACCAAGGTACGAAATATTTTTTCTCGAGCTGGTGGTCTCACTTCGATTGTACGTATAGGCGCAAAAAATCTCAGTGGCCTAGCCGGACAGTTATCCATTCTAAGTATCCTTGCATCAACCCTATGCAACAATGATAAGCAGGGTCGGACCCCGACGAACCTGCCCGCACAATGACGAAATGCCCTGCGAGAACTGAACTGAACAGGGAAACTTTTCGAGACCAAAACCGTTGCTGACTTGCTGGCACCACAAACATTCCACGCCAATACTACGCTCAACATGCTCGTGGTAGAAGAGGACGCGAAATTCTG